TAGGGAAAAAGGTTATTATATTCTAATAGTTCTAAAGGAATTCTGTCCTTTCATGCTAAAGCAGATATATAATAATATTTGTAATGAGTCTGTGTCACCAAAAAAGGCAATAGCTGTATGTGGGAAGGAATGTACCAGAGCTCTTATGAAACAGTGAGTTTCAGTTCACTATGTTTTGCATATTTTTTTCTGAGTGCAAAGGCTGTCTGCAATTTTGGATACCTTATTTTTTTGTTGTTGAAGAAATCTCAGTGTAATAGGCACAATTCATTAATATTCTACATGTGTTTTATCCTTTTCAAATACATTGGTGAAAATAGGTCTACATTCTGTTGTATGGGATCTGGATGTAATAGCCTACTTTATCTTTTTACCGCTGATGTTAAGTAACATTGACCAGTCACTTAATGTTCCTGTGTTAACATTATGCACACAGACATCATTGATTGTTGTTGTGTGTATCATCATTTCTTGAAAATAGCTAAGTTAAGGGGAACTGACTTAGAACTCCAGGTATTGCAATATGGAAAATAAATCAGGAAATACTTACAAATTTTAGATGTTATTTCATATTCAGATAGTCTGTCATAGTTGGAAGTACTTATTTGCTTTCACATGGGAGGAGCTTCAGATAGCGGGGGAGTATGTGATGTCTATGCTAGCGCCAAAACTGGAAGCCTCTTGTGAATACGCCTTCTAAAATGAATTAGAGAGATAGTTCTGTATTCCCTTTGACATATTTGAATGTGTAATCTTGTGTAAAAGTCTTCCTTTTTCTATAGGAATTCTTGAAAAAACAGAAGCTTCTCCATTGCTTTTGTGAACCAAAACTCAAAATTTAATTTTGGGGCAATTAATCGGTTTCATTTTCTACTTCTGCGCACTATAACCTTTGAACTATGGAAAATGGAACCAGTTCAAGCAAACAGAACTCTTCATCTTTGTAAAGGGGAAGTTCTGGCAAAGTTGACTTCTGAAGTGGAAGGAAATAGCAAAATAACTACGTGTGGATGTTTTTGGCCTTGTTAAAGTGGCATTTCCTCCTGGAACTGGTTAAGTTTTCTCATTACCTTCAACATAGTTTTTGATATTGGCAACTCTTCTGTCATAATTGAATCACAATTTAAAAAGGATAATCAGTTTTACAGATAAATTAAAGCAAACTGTAATGCTTTTAATAGCAAAGTAAGCTTATTTTTTTATCTTACAATTTTTGGTAACCTTTATTCTCTGCTCAGGAGTGCAGGTGAAACACAGTATTGGCTTGCTTACTTTGGCTAGTGCTTTCATGTTTTGCCAGCAAGCACAGAAATTTAAGAGGAAAGAGAAAAATGATAATCTTGAATTCAGAAACACTTACAAGCAGAAACAGGAGTTGTAAAATAGCCCAAAAAAACAAGCTGTGGAAAGAAGCTGTGGTAATAGCAATCATGTCTAGTTCAGCAGAGGCATTTATATGTTTTTAATACAAATTTGCAAGCAACTTTATACCTACGCTAAACTACTAACAATGAGCCCTCTCGCCCATGCTCCAAAAGCTTTTTCTTCCTCGTAGCTAAATAGGCGTACTGAAC